ATTCCACCAACTGGGCAGATTGAGCGTGAGCGTTCGCGAAAGTGATTTTTTCCCTCTTTGGGATGGAACCACGAGGCGACGTTCATTCACAGAACGCAAGTTTCTGGAGGGCACATAGATCTGCAGAAGTGAGTGCAGATAAGAAGGAGCAAGGCCAGAAGTCACTTTGTAGGCAAACATCAGAGTTTTGAATTTGATGCGAGCAGCAACTGGCAGCCAGTGCAAACGGACTAGCAGTGGAGTGACATGTGCTCGTTTAGGTTCATTGAAGACAACTCGTGCTGCTGCATTCTGGAGCAGTTGAAGAGGCTTGATAGAGTTAGCTGGAAGCCCAGCTAGTAGAGAGTTGCAGTAATCCAGTTTGGAGAGAACAAGAGCTTGAACAAGGAGTTGAGCTGCATGTTCAGATAAGAAGGGTCGGATCTTTCTGATGTTATAGAGTGCAAATCTGCACGATCGAGCAGTTCTAGAAATGTGGTCAGAGAAGTTTAGTTGGTCATCAATCGTTACTCCAAGGCTTTTCACCATTTTGGATGCAGTAATGGTTGCCCCATCCATCTGGATTGAAAAGTTATGGTGTAGAGTCGGGTTGGCAGAAACTACAAGCATTTCCGTTTTTGCGAGGTTCAGCTGAAGATGATGATCTTTCATCCAGTGTGAAATATCCAACAGGCAGGCTGAGATACGAGCTGGAACCGAGGGATCATCAGGATGAAAAGAGAGGTATAGCTGGGTGTCATCAGCATAGCAGTGGTAGGAGAATCCATGTCTCTGGATGACTGGTCCTAGAGATGATGTGTAGATGGAGAAGAGAAGTGGCCCAAGAACAGAGCCTTGAGGTACCCCAGTGTTTAGATGCTGTAGGTTGGACACCTCTCCCCTCCAAGACACCCTGAATGACCTGTCAGAGAGGTAAGATCTAAACCATTGTATAACAGTGCCCGCAACGCCCAGTGACTCAAGCGTAGATAGCAGGATCTGGTGGTTGACAGTGTCAAAAGCAGCTGACAAGTCCAGCAAAATGAGGACTGATGATTTAGAGTCTGCTTTAGCCAGTCTGAGATCCTCCACGACCGAGAGCAGGGCAGTCTCAGTTGAGTGGCCTTTCTTAAAGCCGGATTGCTTGTTGTCCATGAGATTGTTTTGAGTAAGAAAGTCCAGGACTTGATTGAACACTACTTTCTCCAGAATCTTGGCCATGAATGGAAGCAGGGATACTGGTCTGTAGTTTTCAAGTAGCGTATGGTCCAGGTTGGGTTTCTTTAGCAGTGGGGTTACCCTAGCCTGCTTAAATGTAGTGGGGAATAAACCAGAGTCAAGAGATGTGTTAATTATTTACAGTAAATAATGGAAATGAACAGTTCTGCCTCATATGTTTCATTGGCCACTACATTGTTTTATTGGTCACTAAGATATTAATAACTTGTATTTAAATGGCTTTGATTTAAAAATGAAAATTGCAAAAATGGCTTGGATGTATTTTTTATTGTTAATGCCACAAAAATCACCTGCACAACTAGCTAACATCTTAGTTTTGTAACAACAGTAAACACTTTTTTTGTGATAAGGTCTGGTTGTGTGGTGGCTGTACTTTACAATTAAATTAATATAATCTTAATTAAAGTGATGAAAGATTTTGAGATTCTAACAGTAATTAGAGCTACTGTAAGCTCACACCTACTTAATATTAATGCTTGAAAATGATTTAGTTGATAATATCCGTTAGCAATTAAAAGTAATCAAAAAGTAATCAGATGTAATTAGTTACTTTACTTTTATAAAGTAATCGAAAATTACTGTAACTTATTACATTTTAAATACAGTAATTTGTAATCTGTAATCTATTACATTTCCAAAGTAACCTTCCCAACACTGGCGATCAGGGTGAGAGAGTCTATCTCCACTGCAGAAAAGCAATAAGTCAATTTCCAAAACCTTTTCATTCAATGTTCCTCGCTGGTGCAATGATCTTCCCATTCCCACTAAGACTGCAGATACACTGGTATCCTTCAAACGACAACTAAGAACCCATCTCTTCAGAGAACACCTAAACCCCGATGAATAATACCAAAACCACCTATAGAAGCACTTTCTTTCTCTCTCTCTCTCTCTCTCTCTCTCAAAAAAAAAATACTTTGAATAACTAGCACTATGTATTGCCTCTTCTTGTTGAATCGCTGAATACCTGATCAACTGAAGACGCTTTGACCAAAAGGCATCTGCTCGATGACTAAATGTAAATGTAGTTACCATAAATGCACCTTTGCTATCCTGGGTAATCTCAGAGACGACATAGTCTTCATTATGAACAGAACTTAAATATGTAAAGTAATTAAAATAAAGTGCTAGTGCTAACCCTACAAACAATTGTTTCATTTCAAAGAGAATATTAAGATCCAATGCTATTGTCATTCATCATGCAATAAAAAGAAGCAACACAAACTAGACCACAAGCATATGCACATACTTTAGAGATTGTAAAGGAAGACAGCTATAAAAAATCTTCATGATATGAAAGCTTTAACACATTTTACTTTGATGTCACCCATGATGTACACCTATTACTGAGGTAAGACACCTATGCAGTTAGTTTAGTTTGACACGCCGTACAGAAGCACTCTCATGTATTATAATGACAGTCTGTGATATAAGACAGTGATGCCAATTAATGCAGCACCCGGTGGAGCTCACAACAGTACGATCAGTACTTCTGCGACAACTACTCTCCTTTACACATACACACATCAAGGAGCACAACCAGAGCACAAGGAGCACAAGAACACAACCAGAGCTTCATCTTATAGACCATTTTGAGGGATGTACACAATACAGGGTTTCTGCAGATATCATAATGTAAATTTAAGACTTTTTAAGACCTTTTTAAAAGCATCAAGTATTTAATTTAAGTCCTAAATCACAATATCAAAAACTTGCAAAGAGAAAATGCAATATCACAAAGCTTGTGGTAAAATAAAATTATTTAAATTGAAGAGTACTAAAGACAGTTAGATATATCATTGACCTACAGAAAAGAAAAAAAAAAACTTCTTAGGCCTTATTTATACTTTTGCCTGGTGCCGCATCGAGCACCTCCGCTGACTGTGCAAGTATCTCACGAAATGGACAAGGCTTTTATACTTGATGCAATCGCTGTTGTGATATTCTTTAAAACAACAGGGGGCAGTCAAAAGAAACCCACCGTAAAATCACACGGATAAACAGAGAAGTAATACGTTTCCGGAACTACTTCATATTATTAATATCTTTCAAGATTTTTAAACTAATTATTTTTATTACTTTTAATAAATTATTATAATGATTATAAAGTTTTATAACCATTTAAGATTTTTTTAAAATCAAATTTAGATGCATCACCTGCTTTTGTTCATATCTCGAAAAGTTTTACCTATTAAATATCAATGACAAGAGAAAATGGGTTGCTCTCCAATTATATTTTTTATTATGGCAAGAATGAAAGCAAAAAAATTTAAGATAAATAAAAAATAAATAAAAAATTCCTAAAAATACTGACGTTTTTATTTTTTGCCCACTCAACAATTCACACATTACTGTCTGGCTAGTTTCTGTCCTATACTCATGCTAAAAAGGCAATAGTGTTCCAACAATCCTGTCCAATATCACCAATAAAGCCTAGAAAATGGGCATCAGTATACTGTAAACCGATAGGTTCATATATTCCTTTTCAGTTATCAAAGACATTATTTGTTCCTTAATTTTAGTTTTCAGCTAATACGTTGTTTTAACTTCAAAACTGTTCTATATACGTTGGTATAAAACCTATGAATGGTGGAAAAACATATTCTGTAATATTAAAATCATCTAGGTCTCTACCTTTGCCATGGCATCTATTTTGTGTTGTTTGTTTTAATAAACTAATCCCTCAGGTTTTTCTAAACTTTTACAACAACTTTCCTCCTTTGCTCCGCTGTTGCAATTTCTAGCCAAGAATTATTGGTCATCTGGATATCTCTATGATGATCATACATGAACGGAATATTAATATGTGTGTACAGGCGTACTGTTTCAGACAAAACTTCTTCAAAGTGATTCATATTTAACTTAAATTAAACGTAGTGCCGCGAGAACTGTTCACCCAAAATCTGTTAACTCCACCATCCGAAATCATGTCGTGGCCACCGAAAGCGAACCTCCACAAACACAGCGATGACGTCACATTCACCTCGTGGAGTTCAATAACAGAAAGCTGATTGGCTAATGCAAGTTGGTCTCATTTGTAGTTGTAATATAGCAAACTACATTAGGACTAGTTAAATAAAGAACTACAACACAACGAAAACCAAGCCACAACAACAAAAAAGAATTTAAAAGCGCATTAAATGTAGCGTTACATGGACATTGGAAAAATAATACCTGTGCAAAAATATTTAAGACCTAGAACAGTGAATATAAGACTTTTTAAGACCTTATGGACACCCTGACAATAACAGGTCCTAACATATTTCCTGTATTAGATTTTTAATTTCTATAGCTTTCGACAATCCTGAAAGGAGCACATATTGATAGATAATGTTATGATGACTGTTTAACGTTAGGATATTATTGAATTGCCTCTTGTTACAGTTATGAAATAGTTTGAGAACAAGCAGGAAATGTTTATAGGTCAATGACATCGCCACATTGAAATGGTGTATAGTGATCAAACAGCTAAAGTCTGTGCAACCACACACACAGATGGTGAAAGTGTGAATGTCTGTGAGCATGTTAGAACGGCATCACTGCATGAGGGGGTTGTGTGTGCATGTGCATGTGTGTGATGCAGAAAGAGATGATTAATGGGAGAGTCAGACAGATATCAGAGTTGTAATTATCAGCATAAAACAGGTCACAGCGTTAGCATGCACACACACAGATACAAAGAGCCAGACACGCTGACCATTGCCACTAGCAATCAGCACTTTAAAAGCAATTTAATAAGGCAGATAAAGAGAGATGGAGAGAGATGCAGCAAGTGAACATACCAGTCGGTTTATGCGTACAAACTCCTCAGGACTCTTGGCCCACGGCGGCAGCTCCACATCTGACACCACCGTCCCATCATCCATCACTCCCAGGTTGTAATTATTGGAGTTGACAAACATCTCGGGGAGGTAATAGAACTCAGGGATCAACTCCTGTAAGAGAGGCAGATATAAACTGCATTTTAACTATACATTCACATTATTAGGTGATGGAAAAAGGATATTAGGAATAATAACCAAATTAATTATTTAATCTTTATTCATCTGGTAATTCATACATTTTTGGGCAGCTGACACACTGAACATTTTAACCCTTTAACTGCCCCACCATGAAAAATGTGTGGATTGCATTTCTTAACTCCTAATGTCACTATTTAACACAGTTAATGCATTTTTTCCCAACACATCCCATCAATTAAAAAATATAAACCTCTACCAAATAGCTGATACTGTATGTTGGTTTATGGTAAAAGTACCAGAATTAATTCATATACTATGAAAATCAGAAAATATTAAGTGTAATAAGGCTGTGAGATTTGGTGAAAATATCTAATTGGGATTTTTTTAAACCGATATTCCAATTTCGATTTGATTTGCTAATTAATTTTGTTATCAAGCTTCTAATATTCTGTATCATAGCTTCTTATTGCTAAAATGCAGTGAGTGTTATTTAAAAAAGGAGCTGAAAAGATATTAACTAGCTCCAACTTTTTATTTAAATTTGTTTATAAATATTCAGAAATTAAACCGTAATTTTTCTCTTGCGTTAGTTATCTCCTGGTACCTTTGTGATGTTTTTTCACATAGTGTAACAGCTGCAAACAACTCTGAAATTGTTCTTTGTTGTTGCTACTTACTAGATTGAGTGTCACTGGCAATACTTTTAGTTGACTTTTTAGCAAGACACTCCTCATATAGCCGCCTGTGGTGCTTTTTAGGTGCTGGTTGTTGTATTTCCTCATGCTGTGGCAACAATTCTGTGACATCTCTTACAAACGACCTGATATTGTTCAGTGTCTTTGATTTTGAAACTAAAATATTCCCATATTACCGGCATGCTGTTTTTCCTTGATATTAATTTGTCTGTTATGCTTCTAAAGCATCATCCCACTTGTTCTTGATTTCCTGTTTGTTTGTTTTTTTGTGGACATTCCGCATAGTTCAGTTGAACTCAATTTGCGCAATTTTGATTAGGCAGAACAAAAGTGTGCTCACTCAATTAGCTAGTAAGACTGTCATACACAGATGGCAATCACGCATTTGCTCTGGGTGGGGGAAATTAAAATAATAAATATATAAAATAATATATATATTATATCTCAGGCCCTTGAGATTAGCTAATCGCAACTTTTAAATCGTGATTGCAATTTGATTTTGATTAAACGTGTAAGACCAATTTATTTAAAAAACAATCAAAATAAAACATTTTTGAATATTAAATTATAACTTTTTGCTAAAGCTAAAAATATTTCAGACTCTCATTTAACACATTTTCTTGTTATTTTTTATTTTTTTACAATAAAACCAAAATTAAGTGTAGTAGTGCAAATGGATTATATTTGTTTGATTGATTGTTTTGTAAACCAACAATGCTGTGTGCGTAAACCATCCTTTAAAACAGTTATTCTTTAAAACAGTCAAAACATGCTCAACCATTTGGTTGAGCTGTCAGGCAAAGAGTTAAGGAAAATCGTGTTTATGCATACATGTTTTTGACAATATTTACTGTACAACTATAGATAAAGAAATAAAAAAAAGAGAACACTTGAAAATTCTGGGGTATTATTAGTTATGGGTTAACGTTATAATGTTAAACATTGTTGCATTCTATAGAGGTCTAATAATGATTCAGAGCATTTTTTAAAGACTTGGTGAGAATATATATTTTTATGACTTCATTGTTGTGACTGAAAATCATAATTTATCCCATCAAATATTAATTTCTTAATTCATCTTAAGATACAACAATAGTATTGTGTTGTTTAAAAATGAACATAAACACTTCTCAAGGTAAAAAAAAAATCTAAATGAGAATATTTGTAATTTATTTGGTCACACTTTATTTTGATGGTCTATTTGTTGAATTTAAGTTACATTTCCTCTAAATGCCAACTAATTCTCATTAGATTATTAATAGACAGTTAGGTTGGGGTTAGCGTAAGTTGACATGTACTTGCAAAGTTTCTTATAGTCAGTTAAATGTCTGTTGAAGGAGCAGTATCAACAGATATTACGGAAACTACTAATACTCAAATAGACCATCAAAATAAAGAGTTACAATTTGTTTTACAGAGTACAAACAAAAATTACCTAAAACAAATTACACATATTTGAGAATAGGTGTATCAGCTTTTAAGAATTTCTGCTTATGCCTATACAATAAAAGAATATATTAAACCGCAATTAACAATAAAGGAATCAGATATAATCTCTTTGAATCTTTAGCTGGTAATCTGTGCCATGGTGTCACTGAGTGAGAGATAAAGTTAAAGCTAATATAATTTTATACCCAATTTAAAAGCCTTCATAAATAGAGCAACTGCGTGCCATACTGATAAAGAACATCAAAGGCACACTGCAGTCAAAGCACGGTGAAGAGCATTAAATCCCTATCTTCCTTTATAAAATGCATGGCTGTCACTTTCTTTTTAAATGCTCTAAGAAAAGTGGGATTAATGAAAGTTAAAGATTTAATGAAGGTTAAATCTTATTAACATTAAGCTGCTTTTACAGAAATAACTGAACATCTTCATTTACTCTCATTGTAGGAGAAACAAAAAGTAAAAACACATACAGTACATAACAGTTTTTTTCACAAATTTACAAACAGTTTTTGAGGGAAACATAGTTCTTGTGAATGAATCCAGAGCTTAAATGTGGTGTGTTTATTTTGATTCCAATTAGGTCTGCATAATATTGGAAAAATCTGGCACTGCCATGTTTGGCTTTTCTGTGATATGATTTTAATTTCACCCGATTAATTGATTAGCTCTATTTGGAAAGATTTAATACATCTAGATAGATTGGGATGATAAAGTCTTTTTCTATGCAGTGCATTTGCATAAATTATAATACATTAAAGCATATATAAATACAACAGAGCACAGCTAAAAGCTAAAATTAGCTAAAACAGAATTAGCTAACATTAGCTAAAACAGAATTCAGGTACAGAAATTAAACAATCAAACATAAAACACCATGGTCAACAGTGTATAAATAATAAACAAAAATAACAATATTGAATAAAAGCTTTATCTTTTAATATTTTAAAAAATAATCTAATCTAATCTAATGATGTGCAGATACATGCATTGATATATCAATGCTAAAAAAAAAATATTGCGCAGCCCTAATTCCCATATCTGTTTCTGTTATTTCAGTATTGTATAGGTCATTGGATGAATTAAACTAAAGTGAATTAAATATGGCATGCGTTAAGAAAAGAATTAAACTGAGTGGGTATAAATGTACAATTATCTGCCATAAAATTAACTTGACTTGATTTATACTTCTGTCTCATGTGATTTCCATACCTCACGACAATGCATATCTTACACTTACTCACTGCCATTGTGAGTGTTTATACTTTTGTGTTCTGACTGTATCACTCTGTAATCACACCTCAGAAATGTTAGTAGACAGTGGGATTTCTATGTTCCCCATTGTCGAGTTTCTTTGCCAGTGTTTTGAGTTTACACCAGAAATACGTGAGATGCAGTGGTAGTATGTAGTAGTGGTACCCGGCGAATGGTTAACAATGTAAATCATAAAATAAACACAAAACAAAAATATTCTTCTGAAGCTCATCCACTGTACTTGGAGACTTGTTAAACACTCATGTCACCAGCCTTGCTCTGCTTCCACAGTTTTGGCTCCAGCCAAACTTGTCACCACCATTAAGTCCAATTACAAATCATATGCTCTGCATCGTCATATCGTGAAGTTACATTTTTTGAAAGGTATGAAATCAGGGTTCAAGTCAGAAGGGTATGCAAATGCATGAAAGCTACGTCATGTCTACCACATGTACTTGACGCAGAAGTAAAAATTGCCTTTAGCATTGGCTTGAATACACTCACTGGCGACTTTATTAGGTACACCTTACTAGTATCGGGTTGGACCCCCCGCCCTTTTCCCTTCAGAACTGTCTTAATCCATCAAATCACAGATTCAACAAGATACTGGAAATATTCCCCAGAGATTTTAGTTCATATTGACAGAATAGCACATGCAGTTACTGCAGATTTATCGGCTGCACATTCATGATGTGAGTCTCCCATTCCACCACATACCAAACGTGCTCTATTGGAGTGAGTTCTGGTGACGGTGGAGGCCATTTGAGTACAGTGAAATCACTGTAATGTTCAAGAAACTAGTCTGAGATTATTCACACTTTATGACATGGAACATTATCCTGCTAGAAGTAGTCATCAGAAGATTATTAACACTATAGTCATAAAGGGATGGACATGGTCAGCAACAATATTCAGGTAGGCTGTGGTTTTGATACAATGCTCAATTAGTACCAATGAGCCCAAGGTGTGCCATGAAAAAATCCCCCACACCATTACACCATCACCACTACCAGCAGCCTGAACCGTTGTTAGAAGGCGGAATGGATCCATGTTTTCATGTTGTTGATGCCAAATTCTAACCCTACCATCCGAATTTCGCAGCAGAAATCGAGACTTATCAGACTGAGAAACATTTTTCCAATCTTTTAATGTCCAATTTTGGTGAGCCTGTGTGAATTATAGCCTCAATTTGTGTTGTTCTTAGCTGACAGGAGTGGCACCCAGTGTGTTCTTCTGCTGCTGTAGCCCATCCGCCTCAAGGTTTGATGTGTTGTGCGTTCAGAGATGCATTCATCTGCATAAATCGAGTGCTTATTTGAGTTACTGTTGCCTTTCTATCAGCTTAAACCAGTCTTGCCATTCTCCTCTGACCCCTGGCATCAACAGAGACCCACAGAACTGATGTTCACTGGATATTTTCTCTTTTTCAGAACATTCTCTGTAAACCCTAGAGACGGTTGTGCATGAAAATCCCAGTAGATCTGCAGTTTCTGAAATACTCAGCACTAACAACAATGCCACAAAGTCAGTAAAATCACCTTTCTTCCCCATTCTGATGCTCGGTTTGAACTGCAGCAGATCATCTTGACCATGTCTACATGCCTAAGTGCATTGACTTGATGCCATGTGATTGGCTGATTAGAAATTTGCATTAATTAGCAGTTGGATACAGTGGCAGGTGAGTGTATCTATTTCGGTCAATCGCTAATTACACCTGTCTCTCTGAAAATCATAATTTCTTACAGTGTTCATCTATTTATAGACAAACTTAAGTGTAAAGTTAGTCCTAGAAAAATAAACATGCTATTATTCTAAAGAAACATCCTTTGGGTGAACTATCAAGTTTGACCGGCATCCAAAAAATATTGTATTAAAAAATCGTTAATGTTTACATGTCAACTAATAATATTTTGGACCTAAAATTAAACATGCATGTTATAAAACTATTCATATTAAATGGAACAGTACTAAACTTATACATCTATTGTGCGTGTAAAACAAAGCACATAGTGCAAAGAAAGTGGCCAATTAGGCAAGCAAACAAATGGTGGAAGTTCAAAACTAGCCCCCCGTCTCGCTTCATTCTGTTCTTCTCTTTAAAACTGAAGTCTTTAAAACAAAAAGGTCACAATTTTACAATGGTACCAGGCGCCCTGAGGTTCATGTATGGAGTCTGGCGTAAATGTGGCGTCTTCACTGGCGGCACAAAGATCTAGAGCCACTTAACCAGTGGTGGGGGAGAGAGAGCAGGACTAGGGGTACGGGAGGAGCTATTATGTGCAATGGCCCTTGAGAAGAACTGGTCAGAGGGCAAAACCTGTGATCCAAAATCCTGTCCTGCTGCGGGTCAATAGAGAGGGGTGCTTCTGGGCCCCCTCTTAGGTCTCCTCTGATTCCCCTGAGGGGAAACTTTCAGTGTCCACACAGCCTTCAGCCTAGTGCGTGGAGGTCAGGGGATGGAGGTTAAAGGTTAGGCCAGAGTTTGCCTGGCTAGAGACAGACAGGATCAGTGTGGCTTTAGGCCATTATAGCTCTCTTTAGCCTGGACACAAAAACTGCCAAAGGCTTTTCACCCCTCAGTAGAATGAGGGGGTGTTTCTAAATGTGGGGGACTGCTGTGCTTTTTGTTTTTTTTTAGAAAAAAGGGATAACAGCATGGCAAATTGATACATTATTGCAGCTGAAGGCACTTCTTTGCTTCTCGTTTGCACCTATCAGACCTTTTTTGCATGAGTGAGCAAAGTGAAGCAAGTTTGAAATGTTCCACAGCTTCAAAGTCAAATATATTAAGGGTGATTTTGATGTTTTCAGTCAAGTCTTCTATTCAGTTTTGATGTTCACCAATCCTGTTATGCTGATTCATGGTGACAACCTTACCAAAAAATCTAACTGGGCTTTGAGTGAGCTTTCGGTATCAAGTCTGACTATGTAATGTGAGCCACATGTCTTGATTTCAAATGAGAGCAATCAACCCCTGAAAAACGCCAGCATGCAATGAGCGTGCTAACAAAATGGCTGTCTGTTGTAATGAATATTTCAAGAGGTCTGGACATTTGTTAAAGTCAACGTCGAGCACTTTAAGGGCCTCTAAAGGGCTACAGTGCGCAGTCGGGTTTACTGTCTAACTTTGGTTTGAGGCTGAACGGCAAAAGGTTCAACTGAGGGTTAGAGTGTTATGAAGGGTTTCGCAAGAGAGAGTGTAAGGGAGTAAAGGGGGGAAAGTTCGAAATCAAGATTAGTTTAAAGCTTTGATCAAGGACCCTTGACGCTTTCATGGTAGCATGACAAGGATTGGTTGTGACCGTACATGTGCTAGGGCCAGTTTTTATGGAGAGGTGATGGGGGCAGCCGGGCAGAGAGAACTGCCGTGTATCCATGGCGACTGCCCTCACACCACGTCCCAGCAAGCTCCGGTTACCAAGAGGAAGTCAACTCACTAGAGAAACGTCTAATCATGTAATAGTCTCCACATTTGTGAAAAACAAAATATCAGCGGAAGACCAAAACCAAAACCAGGCCAGGGATCGGCTGATGCTTGACTGAGAAAAAAATAAGCATAGCTGTGTAGAAATATTGATGCGTTAATGATAAACTAAACAAAAAAAGGCTGAAAACGTTAGTCAACATTATCAACAATAAAAAATAAAACACTTTTGCAATGGAACAGTCTTTTGACCTAACGTAAAGGTCTGAAAAATGTGGTTTGACCATTGAGTGCAAGACTGTAATTCAAACCTCCCGGACGCAATCCAATAGAGGAAGACAAAGTACTTGCTTCCTGATTTGTCAAGTCCAGATAATTGACCCTTCGCTAAGCCACACCTGAAAACCGCCACACACCAATCATGGCTTAGCAATCGTAGCTAAGCACAGGAGGTCTGTCAAGCTTTCGAGCAAGAGGAACAAGCCAAAGCGTTGAGCATATGGATTGTGCAAATCTGATACCCGATATTCTAAAAGTTTGGACGAGGTGGTGCAAAAAGAGCGGGGTTAAGTTAATTTTGTTTTTGATATTCCTGACACATTCAGTGATAGGCGACAATAACTAACACACCTCTCAATAAGTCACACATACTCAAACAGTGTTTCCTGCAAAAATACAAAGCAGCTTATGTTTTCCAGCTGTCTTTTTCTCTTTTTTTACTTGATATTATGAGCACTGCTCTGTTTAACCCCTTGCAATAGAAGTCATAGTAATAGCAATCATATATCCATCTGTTTAAAACTACAAATATTTGAAATTACATATCAACAGAACAAAAACGAGATGTGATCACAATCTGAGCATTTGTGATCAATATATTTTACCCGCAGCTATTTTTCAATCATTTATAACCCTCATGCCCATGTTAGAGCTGCAATTCACTGATGTTTTTCTCAGTCTTTTGGAGATTTAGTCATTGATGATGATGTTATAGCAGGTTAGTGTCTGCTTTTATATTTGGTGACTGATAAATATTTGCTGGTAGGAAAAATCTATTTGTTCACTTCTGCTATTTATACTTTGATTTGCATTTCAATTTATTTATTTTATCCACTTAACTGCAAATTAGAATAGAAACGGTATAAAAAGCACACACATACTGACAGTTATAGGTACTGTACATTGTTATGGGGCAACGATGCTAATATTTGGCACAAATCCAACAATTTGCCCTTTCTGGCCTTTTTTCCCAATTAATGAATTAGATAAAAGCACTTTCAATGCGCATTTCCTCGTCAATTAATAACGCTATATTTCATAGCACAACAATTAATCTATCCGGTTTTTTGGATAAAAAAAGAAAATCATGGTTTAATTTGTTATTTAATTATTTTTAAATTCCACCTCTACTGCTGTGCATGAACTAAGCTGTTGAATGGTCAGTGTATGAGGCCGCTAGGCTTACCTAGCTTCAATTTTGATTTTATTATTTTCTAATCAGTTGCATGTCTTGAATATACACCTGTAATGCATACTACAGCCCACTTTTTTTCTGGCTTTGTCAGATATCTCACCTGTTGGCCAAAAATGACTAATTATATCGCTGTGAATGTCTGACACTGGCGCATACATATTGTATTAGATGTGCCAGGCACGAAAGCTAAACAGGCATAACAAGTAACTAAGAAGAGCGGGGCTTAGCAAAGGGTCAATATGACATTACACTTCCAGTAGAAAGCAAGTCAAGATGGCAGCAAAATATGTGCATGTTCAGTGTGTGAATGGTCATGTATCATCCGTTTTAAGCTGTATAGTGTGGACGGAGATCGTTTTTCTGAAATAAATGACTATTCAAATTTGAAAGTTGATACATTTGATAACAGTGTACACTGACATGCATATACATGAACATACCTTCACGTCAGACGTGTCCCTCTGGCAGTTTCTCCAGGCTCTAGACACTGAGGAAAAAGTGCGATCGGCGTGGTCAAATTTTCCACCTTGGAAATTCAGGAAGAATGTTGTGAAGGGCTCCTGAGAATAAAAGAGAACAAAAAAATCTGAATTTCCACACAGGTTCACATTAAAACGAATATAAAAAAGTCATGCTGGGAGCTAAAACAACTAGAGGGTGAATTCCTCTGAACAAAGATCATGCCGTTGATAACTAGGAGTCTACTGTACTTTGATCAATCTCTAGCCTCCAATTTAAACATTTTTCAATATGTGCAACCCAGTCAGTATCTCTTTTTTTAGCATCTGTGCCTGCTGTTCATAACAAAGCCCAATACAATATGATCCTAATTTGTGTGCACTAAATGACATCCTCTTCTCCAAAAGACAGACCTGAATGCTAAAAGAAGCCTGTTATTAACCCAGGTCAGTCAGTAAAGCCTTTGGAAGCGCATTATTTGTTCTTTTCTAATCATGCTTAATCCTGTTTGTGCAGAATCAATAGGTGGTTCTTTTGAAACAATACCTCCCCGATGAGAAGGACACAATTAGAGTGGATAGCACCCTGGAAAGCTACACCATGAAAGAAAAATACCCTAATTACGCAAAGGCTTTTGGGTGCTTGACTGAATTTACTGCCTTCCTTTTTGCTGTCAAGTGCTTCGATATCACGAGGCTGTTGATTTGTGCTATGGTACATGAATTAGGGTGTTTGGAGAAGTGGATTTGGGATAAGCCTGATAATAATGGGATGGGATCAATACAATGGGCCTACAGGGAATGGCAATGAAAGTGAAAAACTGTAACAATTACAAGGATGGCCAGGAATGGGTTAGTGACCTCTAGCTTCCTTTCATTGTGAGTAGAATTTACAAGGAATATGTGAATAGATGACACATTAAAAATGTATGTGAAAATAAAACATGGACCTAATTTAAATGTAGAGCAACTGACATTGTATAAAGGCTTAGGATACAGCAAAGTTAATATACAACTGTTTAGTTAACATAACTGTTCTTCGTTAAAATGTTGTAAAGGATGAAGTATTATTTATTTAAAGCATAAAGAGAATAGGGAATGTGCAATCTTAAGCTGTCCTCGTGTAATTTAAGATGTAAACATTCATTACTACTCAGTCATATAAATCTTTGTAAATGTTTATTAATATTATAAATGTGAACATTATAAATGTTTTATCAAGGATGGATATATATTGAAAAATAGGACTAAATTTGTATTTTGATATTGCAGTTATTTATTAAAATGAAGATTATATTCAGAGCAAGTCAACAGAGGAATTAATAAGGCATATCTGAATAGACCATTTCAAAGTGGTGATGTCATTGGCCCATGAACAATTCCTGCTTGTTATCAAACTATTTCATAACTTACTGTTTAAACAGAAATCATAACATTATTTATCAACATGTGGCTCTTTTTTGATTTTCGAAAGCCATAGAAATTAAATATGCAAATAAAAAACATACAATGTATGTTTTAGTTTACATCCCTCAAAATGGTCTATCGATGACACATTAAAAACTAATGTGAAAAGAACACAAACTATACAGAGGCTAAGGATGCTACAAAGCATTATTAGACTTTATAAACGTAAATCTAAGACAGAACTGTTAACTTAACAAAACTGTGCTTCAGCAAAATGTTGATGCAAAACCAAGTGTTTTCCTCCAGAGTGCCACATCTTTGTTCTCGGCAGATATTAGAACACAAAGGATGAAGGGAAGATGAGCGATGTGTTGCGTGTTTGTTAGTATGCAGATAAGGCCTACATTTCAATATAACAATAAATCAACCTGACTGAGCACGCACACATGCCCAATTATAAACAACAATTAGTTGCAATGCGTTTCGCGGCAGATCACATGATGAATGCGTAACATTTTGCTGCAACCACTGAGCCGCTGTCTGGTTTAAGACCCTTTAAAAGTGGCAAATCATTTAGACAATTATGATCATGTCCCATTTATTTGTCCTACATAAACAGATAATGTAAAAATAAACGTTAAAGGAAGTGAAATAATGCAGACAGATGGCAGGGAAACAGGCTTTCCTATTTGAGGCTATAAAAAGATTTTTGAAATGGTGAAGGAGCATTTTGTTTGGTAGTTTGCTGCACTTGACATTTGAGCGTGAAACTCAATTCAATTGAGTTTTAGGTTGGGTAGTTAGTTAGTTAGTTAGTTTATACAGCACAATAAAACAACAGTTGTTGACCATTCTGCTGAACAAACCTAAAAGCAAATGAACAAAAATAGACAGCAACAGATAAAACAACATAGAAAACATCCAACATACCACACAGCATCAACAATAAATAACAAGACACCAGATACTGTAGGTACATTAGGATCAATTTTCTCCCAATTTAAAAGGTCTATCTAGGAATTGTAGTGAACTAAGATTTATTGGAAATTATTCTAATGGACATAAGTAGCCTGTTCCACATTTTAGGACCTACTACAGAGAAAGCTCGATCTCATTTTTTCTTCAATTTGCATCTGGGAACTACTCGCATCTTCTGGTTCTATGACCTTAAACATCTGCCAGATATTTTAACAGTAATAAGATAAGAGAGATAAGTCAGAGCCTGGCCTTGTAATACCTTAAAACGTACATTTAAATATTAAACTCAATTCTAAAACTTATCGGCAACCAATTTAGGGAGCACATAATAAGAGTAATGTGTTCAAACGTGTGGGTGCCAGAAAGAAGCCTAGCGGCAGCATTTTAAGCCACTTGAAGATGATTTGTATAAGATTGCGTGTGTAAACGTGTGTGTGTGTGTGTGTGGGTGCAACTTACAATCCTCAGTAGCCACATCTGAGTGAAGCTGGAGGTGGAATAGTGTGTGCCATAGTGGAATTTGGGCACCTGTTCATCCTCCCATGATTCGAAGCGCTCAGAGAAGAAAGCGGCTCTCTTTGGGTTCAGCGCACCAATAGGCTGTGACAAGAAAAAGCAAACAACATTATTGGAATAAACATAAAACCACATTAATAAAGGATCAATGCTTAAGAACAACAGTAATAAATTGTGAAATCCTATGTCAGAAGGACAACAGGCATTAAATCTGAACACAGTAATGGTAGGGTAGTAGGGGAGACCTAATTTATTAATGCTAATCATTTATTTACATGATTTAGCAGTAAACCCTTTTTTTAAAGATCAATCAAATTAATCAGTCTTCTGTATAATATTCTGTAGCAGCATTTACAATAAATTTAAAAAAAAAAACTTACCATAGCAATTTCTATAGTGATAAGAGCAAATTAAGCAAGCAACTACCTTGAAAAACAAACTGCAATCATGATCCTAAAATTGTTCTTATCTGAATGATAACACTGTAGCTAGGATGAAAGGTAACAAAATCATACAATTCATTTAATATATTTTGGGGATGCATCAATATGGATTTTTTGGCTGATATCTCTGATAACTCTTAAGATTTGGAGATTTCGATAACCGATATACTTTAGCCTATAATTAAAAATATTCCAAAATGTAAACAACTGATTTTATTTTAAAAACATTTTGATGCACCTGAGCATTGAGCACTGATGACTGTATGAAAAACACAGTGCATAATATAAGGACAGAATGTGACAGTTGAGAACACCTATTGTATACTGAATTCAGTGACTGGCACACATCTCCCCTGCTGCTGTTTGGGGTGTTGTGAAAAATTTGTCGGACCACTATGTGTGTGTGTGTGTGTGTGTGTGTGTGTGCACTGATTGCCATCACATGCACTTATTATAATCATATGCCGATCAAACTAAATACAATCTTACATCAACAACACATGGCAAGCAAGGCATTAATAACAAAGTTTGACCCGCGCATGCACGAGGCAAGTAGTTCTGTGTAATTACGTAATCCATCGGCCTAATTTTGACATCAGACTGATAATGATAACATTAAAAATACCATTTATCGGCCGATATGGCCGCCAATATATCCTGCATGCCTAATATATTTCAAAGCTTTAAAAGTCTCTTATGCTCAACTCTGCGGTTTATATGACACCTAATAATTCCATCAATATTTCAAAGTATTATTCAAATGTTAAATAACTTTTAAGGTTTTAAAATATTATCTATTCATGTTATGACAAAACTCAATTTTTTACTCAATGATGACGATGATTTTCAGTGTCACATCATCCAGAAACTATTCTAATATAAGCATTTATCATCCAAGAAACAATTAATTATTAACGGTCAAAAATGATTGCACTCCTTCACATTTTAAAATGAATTGTGATACATTTTTGATTCTTAAAGAGAATGTACATTCTTAAGCTGTACCTAAAATGAACATAATAATACATGTCTATACAGTGAATACTACTCATATAAATCTTCACAATTGTTTATAAATTAAGTTAATCCATCCTTGCTAAAAACATTTCAGTAACATATTATTTTAAGGTACAATTCTCAATATTAAAAACCATTAACTATGACTTTTAGCTCAATAAACTCCTAAATTGCTGCTGTTTAATAGTTATTAAGGTATACTAGGTTTAGGTTTTGGGTAGAATTAGGGATGTAGAATAAGATCATGCAGAATTTGTCCTTTATAGATACAAATATACAATTAATATCTTAATAATATGAAGGTAATAAGTGGTTAATAGTGACAATGGGTACTTACTAAGTGTTACCAATTTTCAGAGATTAAAAGTGTAAATTATATTTAATGAAGTCAACAGAGGTCATAGGAAAATACATATATTAGTAGAATTCATATATGGCTAATACTCTCTAGCCCTGCATCGATTGTATCAAAATTATTGATTACCTGCTTTAATTCTTCATTGATCTGAAGAAACTCAGCGTATTGAAGCGGGTCATTATTTAAATGCTCATTTATATGTATTGTTATTACCCTGCCGAGTCTTTATTACTCTTGAAAATGACTTCAGCTCTTTGTGTGCCTCTCATATCTTAGAACGATCAATAGTAATGGAATGATGGAGTCTCTTCAAATGAGAGTAGGCAGGACAGATCGACCATCTCCATCGCTCTCTCCTATCATAGCTGTGTAATGAGAGTCTTCAGCTGCTTTTCTATTGATCCCAAACCTGCGACTGTATCATTTAATGCTCCACTGTGCATACGGGCCTGCATTAATGTGGAATTTAACACAGTAGTGGTGGGATACACTTAAAAACAGAGGTTAATTTTATTCCACTAATTGTAATATAATCATGATTAAACTTTGTCCTGGATTTAATTGAGATTTAAAAAGGAGCGCTGTTTAATCAACGTTTGATTGTAAATCACTTAAGCTTGTATAATTGTCACCGAAACGTAATAGACTCGAATGCAATCCTTGTGTGTGTGTGTGTGTGTGTGTGTGTATGTGTGTGTGTGTGTGTGTGTGTGTGTGTGTGTGTGTGTGTGCGCGTGTGCGTGTGTGTGTGTTATAAACTGAAATACAGCCCTGGGCTGACAATGACACACGGTCCGCTCTCTTGTGGCAACTACGGTGAGAACACACACTGAATTAAACATTGCGCGATTTAACTGATTGATTGCGGTAATAACAGGACCCTCATTAAAGAAAGAAAAGGGAGAGCAGGATAAAAAACATCTCTGTCATAGCTCAGTGTGTGTGTTTCTACGTGAATGTGTAAATTTGTGTGCATGCCTATGAGTGTGTGTTGCTGCGAGGGCCTCGTGTTGTTTACGGCAGTAAATTACCGTCTGAAGCGCTCCAGTACAATAGGGTCTGGTGACAGTGTCGTTCATCAGGGTTATCCCCGTACCCCAGCGCAGTGTGATGGAGTGAACGCACACCACCGACCCTAATACGCTTTGGCAGCACTGCTGAATATTTCTCTAGTGACGGCTCAAATAAATGAGCTGCCCCAATGTTTTTAATTAGACTGCAAATCTGAACAGACTGCCAGTAGCTATCAGCATGCCGACTTCACCGTGCTGCTCAAAATTCAGAGATTCTGAGAGGCGGAATTTGTGAATTGCAACTGATAGCTTTGTTTATTTGCACACAATTATAAAAAGAACTGCACAAATCAGGCATACGCACAAACTTGTCCAAAAACATTCACGACCTGCATAGGCTGCTGTGATCTAGCACATGAACTGCTTCTTTAAATGCCAAAAGTGTGCTTGACTAAACATGAATGTTTGCCTGGTTATAGCACTTCTCCATCATTTGTGACAAAATACTGCTGCCGTGCCATAATGAAAATGTATGTAATCAATTGCTTTCAACTTCCACGGGTTGTAGCAGTGCATGGATAATTACACCAGGCAAAAATTACAATATGTGGGGGGAAATAAAATATTTAACAAAAATATGTAACCATTTTTTTTTATTGAAATACATAATGCAAAAGTAATATAATGCAGTGAATAACTAAAATTGAATGACTAAATATCCAAAAGCAATACAGGGACCTTTTCTAAAATCCTCAATAAAATAGTTCTGTGATTAAATTAATCAATGAAACGTTAGGATGAGGATGCTTAGAGCCATTTTGTATGAATCGTAAATAATATTTAGTTCATCCAAAATTTTAAATTCTGTAATTAATTATACTGTACACCATAATGTCATTCCAAATTTCATTCATATTCAGAACTTTATTAAAGATATTCTTTCATTCTCTTTTCGGCTTAATCCCTTTATTAATCTGGGGTCGCCACAGTGGAATGAACTGCCAACTTATCCTGCATATGTTTTATGCAGTGGATGCCCTTCCACCTGAAACCCATCTCACACTCATACACTACAGACAATTTAGCCTACCAAATTCACCTGTACCACGTGTCTTTAGACTTGTGGGGGAAACCAGAGCACCAAGAGAAATCAAATGAAGATATTTTAAATGGAATCTAAAAGCTTCGAAATACTCCGTAGCCAGCAACAGCATATTATAAAATTATAAATGTATTAGAATACTTTGTGCACATGTAAAAGAAAAATAATGACTTTATTGAACAGTTTCCTCTCCTCAGTGTGAGCACTGGGCAACCATGCACAGATGTTAACTTCAGATGCCTGCGCACATTAAATTCCTCTGTTTAAAACAAAGCACAATCACATCGAAGATAATACATCAGCAGCATGAAACATCATAGAGCTCTCATGAAAGTGCGTCCGATACTGACATTGAAGAGGAGAAACTGTTATTTATTTTTTTTAAGTCATTTTTTTGTTATACTGTAATGGTGAACTAATCTTTTAAATTCTATGTTTATATATTTAGGACTGCATTACTTATATTTAAACTGCATCTTTACCTTCCAAACCTTAGCATGCTTATGTCATCGAGGTTGAGGAGATAACTGTTCAGTTTAACAGGAACTGAAGCGCTCTTGCTCAGCACAGTAGACATTGCTTTAGTTATATCGTTTTGTATTATTTACAGCAGGGAGGGGGGGGGTCAAACTCGGTCCTGGAGGGCCAGTGTCCTGCACTGTTTAGCTCAAACACTAATCAAACACACCTGAACAAGCTAATCAGTGTCTTCAAGATCACTAGAAATCTATAAGCAGGTGTGTTTGATTAGAGTTGGAGCTAAACTGTGCAGGACACCGGCCCTCCAGGACCGAGTTTGCCCACCCCTAATTTATGGTCATTTGGTATGCAGTGATAGTCAAATATTTTGCAGGACATATCCACAAATTTTGACGCTCATAAATGATCATAAAAGTCATCATTCTGCTTGTATTAGGAGGTTTGCAGAAGGTGCAGCTGATGTGCAGCGAGGGGTTTGCGTCCTTTGATAAACTACTACAGTTTGTGTCTTTGAAAAGTAAGAATGATTAATAAATACATATTAAACAGTCCCTTAAAAGGCCATGAAACCCCCTTGTTTCAGCAGGGTTTTTACACACCTCTACTTTGGAAAAAGTTAGGAAAGTGGCCGTGTCCAGCTCTGTTTAGGGGGAGTATTGAAGGAGGGGAAG